TGGATATGTACTACCCTTGAAGAACTCATAGTCCAGTGAATGAAGATGATCTATAAACTGACCACTATATAACATTATGATAAGAGCTGAATTTCACAAATTCAGGTTATATGAGCTTGATCATAAAGGATGAGTGGGGTGTTATGAGACCAAAAAACGGACATAAAAGGTCATTTTAGTCAGAAGGTACAAAGACATAATCGAAAACACAGTCTTCTTGGAAAACTACAAATAGTTTATTATGACCAGTTTAAACTTCCTATGGGCACATAGCTGGGAACAAAGACAGAAACTCATACCAAGGCATGAATATATGTCATAATATGCTGAAGAGTTTGACTTTCATGATGGGGACCTACCTTGTAAATGATTTTACCATGAGAAACCTGGTATGCATCAGGAGAGCTGGGGACAGAATGGAGTCCAATTAGGGAGCCATTGCATGAGTAGACAATCAGTAATGGAGAGTTCATTTGTGAGAGCAAATGGGAAGAACTGGACATACATGGGCGAAATTTTGGAATTAGAATCAATAGGACATGGACCAATTGATTCACTGTGGCTGGGTGGTTTATGGGAGTGGGAAGCAGGGCATAGTAAGAGACAAGAAGTCAGATGTTATGGGGAGGTTTATGTGATTTATCAAGTGAAATTTTATAATTAACCAGAACTTCCAACAATTTTACCAAGATAATTCACAAGTAGTTGAAAGAATAAGCACAGATGATACCTACTGGTGAAATTTGGTGATCTTGTAAACATCCTTTAATTTACATGTGCTTTATAAAATGTAAGCTTGTGCCTTATTTCTAGATTTGATTTAGAAAATGATTAATCGTGAGTTACTGATGAATAAATTAACCTTTCTGGAACATAAGCAATAATCAATGAAATAGTGTATAAAACCTGAGTTTAAAAAAACAAAACTAAACAGTGTGCAGATCAAAAGGACAAATTTCCAAGCAAGATTAATGAAGAAAGATCACTATAAAAACTGCAATATTTTGATTTACAGAAAAAATGAAACTACCCTATTAGTATTCTAGCAGGGGGTGGAAAAAAGTTAACTTATAAAGAAATAAGAATTAGACTCCTTTAAACTTTATTATAAGTTTATATGTTAGACATGGTACAGCAATATCAAAAGACTATTGAGCAAGACAAAAGTTAAAAATATTGTACCTAGCCAGGTTTTATGCAAGATATATAAGCTAAGATTTAAAAAAGGTCCATAAAATATAACATCTAATATCATCATTTAAAAATTGTTTTAGCCATTGAAAGATTACTGGTGAATATTGATAGAAGTTAAATTGAGTTATAGCTGAATCATTGTTTTATTTCATTAAAATATATATAACAGTAATTTTTAAAATAAATGTAAAATTTGCATTTGTAATTTCAAATTATAACAATGTGATACTCCCATTAGAGTTCTGGATGGTAGAGGATAAAGCCTGATGCTGATCTTCTTTAGATCAAACGTTTAAATGCTTTACTATGAAAGGCCCTGTGTCTCTGAACAGATTGAAATAGAGGTTGAAATTCTTACTTCATTCCTTGAACAGCACGAGGGAATACTTTTCAGACTTAAACGTCCTTTTTTCTGCAGTTCCTTCTTCCACCTCAACAATCTAGTCTTCTCCCCCAGCAGCCCCTTCTAGTATGTTACATCTCTAGTCACTTCTTGGTTCTTATATATTGGGATGACAGAGGTTCAAGATTGTACTTCTTTAAATCATTTCTATTTAAAGAAATGATCCCCTAGGATCTTAAGAGAGGATTAGATGCTCCAGTACCAGCTGACATGCATGTATTTATACAAATTTAATGTAATAAAGGTGACACTTTATATTAATGGGAAAAGCTATGATGGTTCAATAAAGAGCACTGACAGGTGTATACATATATTATACCTGTCAAATCAGACACTTTGAATATGTGCACTTTAACATTTTCACTGAGATGACTGATTATATTAATTAGAGGAAAAATACCTTCCTCTATCAAAACATATAATAATTAAATACAATAAATGAAAAATAAAGCCATTACAAGAAATGGCAAAAAATTTTATGTGATTTTTGCTTGGGGAAAGACTTCCTAAGCATGAACCCAAAGATGGGAAAGACAGAAAAAGGCTGATAGATTTTTTTCCTATACACATACACACACATACATATATCATTTTACACAAATGAGGTCATATCATACAAGTCCCTTCTCCCTCAATCTTTCCCCATATTAGCAGCCCAGCCCCCTTTCCTGCCCTACCTGCTAAGCTCTGTTAAAAATCTTCATATGTTCTTTCGAAATATATACATATTAAAAATCATGTATATTAACACAATTTATAAACTTTTTTGGTTATTATTTTACATAAAGTAGAATTATATCTGGTTGTTTTGCATCTTGCTTTTTTTAGTCCACTGTACTTTAGGAAAACCTCCCATGTTATCTAGCATAGCCTAATTCCTTCATTTTAATGGCCATGTAATAGACAATTGTTTATTTAACAGTTTTTCACAATTTATTCAGCAATTCCAAATTAACGAGCATTCACTTTGTTTTCAGTTCTTGATCACTACTAATTGTGCTGCCATTACCATCTGTACATATTTAATAGGAATAGGTTCTTTTGTACTTCTGTTTTAATAAATGTTTTCAAACTGCTTTCACAAAAAGTTTGTATCCTTCACATTTCTACTAGGTTCTAGGTACTCATGTATGAGTACCTCTTTTTCAGTGTTCCTGCCAGCAATAGGCATTACATAGCTCATTTAACTTCCTGTCATTTAATTTTATTTTAACTTCCTATTTGCTCAAGGTTTCAAAGTTCTCCAGAGATGAGTGACTGGGATCTTGCGTTCTCCTTTTCCAGGTCTTTCCTGGTCATATACACAGCCTTGCACATGTGTATAACCTGTTAAATCCCCAGGAATGTGTCTAGTTCTTCAGGGTTTTATTTTCAGTTCCTGCCCAGACTCTTATTTGTTTCAACTGAAACTACAGCCTTGGGCAGCTACCTATTGCCAGCAGATTGCTATTATTTCTGTAATGCCTGAGGGTAGGGCCTTTTGTCTCCCTGAGCTGATGTCTGTGTCAAGTGAAATTATTACAATACCTTGAGAATATAGTTTTCCAGGGAGCTACAGGTTGGGACAAAATATTGATTGTGTTCTAGGGAAGTCGGTTTTAATAGAACTGCAAAAAAATTTCAGTCCCCTCTGTTGGCTGATAGCTTCTCTTATGTCTGCCTGGACGCCAAACTTAGTTAGGAGTGAAGGGGATGGGAATAGCCCTCCATCAAAATATCCCAGTCCTCCTTGTCTTCGAGGTGCAGTTGTTTTTATTGGATAGACAGTGTTCCACTCCTGTGGGTTCTGTGGCTTTCATTAATTTCTAGCATTTTGAAGTGTTTAAGTTGTTTTGTTATTTCTTTTTTGTGGGAAAGTGAGTTCACCAAGGTCCTTGCTGTGCCATTCTGGAAGTTAATCTCATTTCCTAGTTTCCTTAGCTATTCATAGGCATTGACTCTGCAATGTGAACTTTAAGGTCATTTTATTCAAGTCCAAGAAAAGCTTTTGGGATTCTAAATACATTAAACTTGTAAGTTATTTTGGAAGAATTGACATTTTGGGATCTTAAGTTTTCTTAACTGAAAACAGGACAAGACTGATAGACTTGATTATTTAAATGCATACATTTTAAAATGTGCAATTTTTAAAAATTGGGAAGAATTTAATCACAAATGATACTAGGAAAAATATTAGAATGTTAATGACCTTTGAATATTAAATTTATTTTTAAATATAGGGATTACATACAAGCATGAGTAAAAGATATAACCTGTTTTTAAAAGAAGAAATACATATAACCAGTAAGCCTAAGAATATTTAGCGATTAAAAAATGCAAATTAAAGTAGATATTCTTTCTACCCATCAAATTAGAAAAAAAAACATTGGGTAAGATGTGGCAAAATACTTAACATTGCTGATGGAAGTATAAATTGGTACAGTCTTTCTGGAATTCAGTTCTACCCAGATGTCCCTTTTTTAGGAATTAATTCAAAGGGAAAATTATTAATTATTCACTCATTAAATAGTTATACTGAGTACTCTCTGTATGCCAGACAATGTTTGTCACCAGGTATACATCAACAGAAAACACAGACACACTTAAAAACCTTTGTTTTCATGGAATATACATTCTTGTTGGTGAGGCAAACAAACAAAGAAAATGTAAAAATATATTAGAGTGAGATAGGTACTAGGGGAACGGGGGAGCGGGGAAACTGGGAAGGAAAACAAGTGTTGGGGTTATAGGTGTGTGTTTGGGATCCAAAAAAAAATATTGTTTAGGATGATTAATCTCTAAGAAATGGTCATAAATGTCTTATTTTCTTTACATTTTTCTGAGTTTCTACAGTGAGCATGCAGAAATAGATAACAGAAATTAACATTTTTAAAATAATCTAATATTTTTGACAATGAGTCCCTTACACATTATATAGAGGTTGGTGTATATTTTAGCAGTTTTCTAGATACTACAATGGATGACTTTTACTTTAAGAGAATAAATATAAATGAATTTATTAGCATGGGGTTTAATTTTGTAGCCTGTCACACTTGGGTGAAAATCTAATTTATATTTATTTTCTCAAATTTAGCTATTTTAAAACATGACTTCATTTAGCAAATTAAAATTTTATTTTGCTTATCTGCAATTAAGAATATTGGGAAGATTATCAGTTTATCTCACTAAAATTGTATTGCATAAATGTTACAAAGTTATTTTTTATTTACTTTTCAGCACTGAATTTCAAGCAGTAAATTTACTTGTTTATTTTAAATATTTTGTATTAAATACTTCTATCAGATTCACTATTATTGTTCCATGGTGGATTTCATTATATTTCACTTTCATTTTATAAACTATCAATGTAAGAATTTAGAGAAACTTAGAATTTTAGAATTTAATGCAGGAAAATATATTTTAGGAAAACAGTTAAAGGATGGGAAGAAGCCAGAACCATGCAAACCTATCCTCAAGGTGGAATTCAAAACGACTAGATCTGGGTAAGATTTTACTTCGTTGCCAATGTTCATTGTCTATAACTGCTCAAATAGCACTGAAGGCTATTCTGTCATCATTTTTGAAGGCCTGCTTTAGAAAGGTCTAGCCCAACCTTAAATTTTATGCTTTATTTCACAAAACAACTAAAATTGGTAAATTTAGGATAAAATACTTCTTTGTGTTCTCTGTCTTTAGCAGTTTTGCTATATATCTGGAATGTTTGAATTATTTTTCTTATTAAGCTTCATACATTCTGTTAGTCTTCAGTTAACATAGAGGTCATTCACTAGTAAAAATTGTGAAATAAGAATGAAGAAAAAATGATTTTAAAATTAACCTATTTATACTGTATATGTTAATTATGAAGTTTTATATGTATTCTTCAAAAATTAAATCTCATAGGAATATTTGGCAATACCAAAAACAAGTACCGTTTAATATTAGAGGAAGTTAATTGTATTTGAAGATATTGATTGCCTTTATATATAAATTAGATACAAGAATTACATAGTTTTTACACTTTATCTTATATATATTTTTGTGTATACCAAATGTTATGTTTAAAATATAATTTAGGAAACAAATTTTTAAAATTTTAAACTTTTTTTTTAATTCCACATCTCTTTAAACTCTAAAGGAGTACTTTGATTTATGTTCTAATTTCCCAGAAAAGGTGTGTGGTTTTATTTACTATGGTTATGTAAGAGAGTGAACTTATGTAGTATATGTGGTCCAGTGAGTCTCAAATTGGGGTTCCTGGGCCAGCAGCATTAGCTGAGATCTTAGTAGAAGTGCAGATTCTTGGACTCCACACCAGACTTACTGAATCAGAAACTCTGCCTTTGTGTGGATCCCAGGAGTCTGTGCTTTACTAGACTTACCTAATGCACATCGAAGATTAGAGCAACTGGTATATGTTTTGTATACCAGTTTATAACCACCAGTTATTATAGCTGGCCTACTTCCCTTTTTAATCTCTTCTTCAAATCTCATTTAATACAACCCTGTTCTCATTTGGCAAAAGATACCAACTGAAGAATCATTAAGACTGGTATTTTTTCCTCTTGATCCCCTTTAGTCTGTCTCCAGTATCCAGCAGATACACTGTGTTCAGACAATAGGTTGAATGAACTCCAGGAGGAGTAGCATTGGTTTAATTGACCATGGCATCCCTACTGTGTGACCTTTCACAGAGTTATTTTACTTCTTTGTGCTTCAGTTTCTTCATTGATGACATGAATGTGATAATAGGGTCAAAAGGTGGTTGTGATGAATTGAGAGAATTATGTACTTAAAACATTTCACACAGTGCCAGGTACATAATAAACTTCTTTAAATGATCATATTTTGTTAGGGAACCTACTGCTACCAATCGTTTTTTCTTTCCTCCCTCCCTCCCTCCCCTCCTTCCAACTTGATATACTTGTCCAATAGTGAAGGAATCTAAATAGTAAAAGCGTGGCAGGAACAAAAAAAGCAGGAGTGGGTGATGAAACAAAAAAGCTTAGTATTTATACTACAACATAAAATGAATTGTCTAAACATTTAAACTAACAGTCCTAATTATCTTTTGAATTATCTGTTCATTTTAACAGTTACTGATTGCCAACAAAGGCAGAAATTCAGGGAAGATTTTTTTCCTCCCTCTTTTTGTTCCCATTTTCGCTCCTGTATAATGGTAATATTTATGAGTTCTGGTTTTCTTACACAATGGCAGCAATACTTTCCCTTTTGTAGGATTAGAAATGAAAAAATGTCTCGCTGTTTGTATGCATTTGTAGATTCTATAAAATAGATCAATAGGATTCCTTTTTGTAGTAGCCTTCTCCAGCTTTCCAATTTTTTTCCACCTGGGATAGGACGTTCATAAGTTAAATGGTTCTTTTTTTCTCAGCCCATGGCCTCTTTCCTTGACATAGGTCCCCAGAATTCTGATGTGTAGCCACCATTGAGAACTACCACACTACTCCCTCCCATCTAGAGGAGAATCCCCCTAAGTTAATAAGCTAGGTGGCTCTCACCTTTTTCCTGTCCCTATTAAGTGCCTTGGGCAGATGCCAGCAGAAGGTGTTCTGTTAATTCCTGTGGGCAAATTACCTGTTTATTGGAAGAGCCATCCTTCCCTCCTCGGATTCTTGTCCTTTTTCTTCTCTTTACCTAGAAATCATTCTAGGCAAGATTCCCTCTCATCCTTTAGGGCTCACATAAATGTCACTGCTTTACCGATGTCTTGGCCACATTGACCAGATCGGGTCCCCCCACAGTATGCTCTGAAAGCATGCTTTACTTTCCCTTTCTTGAACTGATACTTGTCATTAATAATGAAATTGTTTGTTTAGAGCCTATCTTCAGCTCACTGAAGGTATGGGACATAACTGTCTCCTTTCTAATTGTCCAGCTTCTAACAGTGTTACTGAATGTGAGGAAGAAAATGATAGGCTGGTGGATAGAAAAACATAGCCATAAACAATGAGCTGTTACCTGATAATGATAAAAACATAGTTTAACTCTGAGGCACAGGTAAACTCTGACCAAACAATGGAATCAAGATATGCAACTTTTATTTTTCTAATAAAATGAAGTATATATTGTACCAGGAGAGATCAGACATAGGGATCAGTGGCAATATCATTAATGTAGCTTTTTAATAGCACTGTTATTAAAGATAATGGCAGCTTCTTTAAATGGCCTGTTCCTTTAAAAAAAGGCAGAATGTAAATGTTAAGTCAGCTCTGTTGAAGTGTTGCTTTGAAAAATGAATGTAACTCAGGTGTGAAGCCCTGGAGGGAATGTTGCTCACGCAGGGTGATTAAGAGAGAAAGTAAACTCAGAAGCCAAACCACCTGGGTCTGCATCCCACCTCAGCGGTTTACTCATTGTATGATACTGGGCAAATCGACTGAGCTTTCTGTGCCTGTTTCTTCTTCTGTAAGATGGGAACAGTAGTATCTACCTCACAGAATTGTTATGAAGGTTAAACAAATTTTTATAAAACACTAGGAACATCAGTTGTCTCACACATTAGTTGTCTCAAAATAGCATTTGATAACCTCTAACAAACCTCTAAAATGTAGTTATTCTCTGATTTTGCATTCAAAAGCAGATGTATGAGTGGCAAGGTTGATCAGACTTTATAATAAAGAACCTTACTAATATTCTTCCCTAGACTGAGAAACACTGATTTAGGGCAGTGATTTTTTTTTTAAAGACATCAAGTGATGGTGCTCTATTAGTGGGTTCTAAAAATAATTTTGTTGGTTGTGATCACTGATTTTTAACTATAGATAACAATAGGGAATAGAGTGCACTGTGCACTTTAAGGGTAAGTATTGGTTCATGAAACTTGTGTTCAGTTGTGTACATTTACGTATCTGTGTATTGTATCATGAAGTAAAATGCATTGCTTCTGATGAGTCATAATCATAATATTCAAAATCTCCTGATTAGTAGAAATAACTCAGGTTTTTGATTGGCAGACCTGGGTTCAGATGCTCGTTCTGCCCCTTACTGTATCTTTTTCAGCAAGTTGCTTGACCTCACTGACCCCTTACCTCAATGAAATAGGAATAGTAATGTCAACTTCATAAAATTGTTGTGAAGATCTAAAAGAAATATAATGTGTTTGATTAAACTCTAGTTCTTTTTTTCCTCAACTTCTATACTTTCTTTTCATAGTAGACTACATAAGAAGTTGTAGGCAGGGCCAGATTTTCAATAAGATGCAACTCTGGATAAGTTCAAGTTTTCAAATAGGTGCTTCATTTACCTCCTTGCAGTTCTGCACTACAGATCATTAGAAGAGTTCATTTCTCTTAAGAAATGGACCACCATTAAAGAATCACTAGTTTGAGAGGAAGCATCTCTATTAGGGAACTTAAAAGTATATATTACCATAATTCAGTTTGGTAATTTAGTCATATTTAGAGAATCATCACTAAGAGATTATTTATCTCTCTTCTTCGTAACACCTGCTATGGCAAACCTTTTCTGTATGGAGCCAGAGAGTAAATATTTCAGGCTTTGCAGGCCATATCAGTCTCCGTTGCAGCTATTCGACTCTGCTGTTGTAGCCCAATAGCAGACATAGACAATCCATAAATGAATGAATGCAACTGTGTTCCAGTAAAACTTTATTTACAGACACTGAATTTGAATTTTATATAATTTTCCTGTGTCATGAAATACTATTCTTTTGTGTATTTTTTTTAACTATTTAAAAATCTAGAAAGTACCCTGGCTGGTGTGACTCAGTGGATGGAGTGCCAGCCTGCAAATCAAAGGGTTGTTTGTTTGATTCCCAGTCTAGGGCACAAGTCTGGGTTTCAGGCCAGGTCCCCAGAAGGAGGTCCATGAGAGGCAACCACACATTGATGCTTCTCCCCTTCTCTTTTCCTCCCCCTACTCCCTCTCTAAAAATAAATAAAACCTTTAAAAATTTTTCTTTAAAAGAAATCTAGAAAGCATATATAAATATATATATATATTTAACTTTATTTTTAAGGAAAAAAATTTTCGGTTTTTGTATTTATTTTCCCCACACTCTCTGGTGCCAGAATATGTTTTCAAGTGGCTTAGAATATAAGGTGATTTCTTAAGTTTTAATTTAATATGTTAACTTAAAGCTTAGGTGGATTACCGATAGAAGAATATGAAGCCCTGACTGGTATGGCTTAGTTGGCTTGGCGTCCTCCTGCAAAACAAAAGATTGCCCATTCCATTCCCGGTCAGGAGTCAGGGCACAAGTCTGTGGGCGTGTAGAAGAGGCAACTGATTGATGTATCTCTCACACATAGATGTTTCTCTCCTTCTCTTCCTCCCTTCCCCGTCTCTAAAAATAAATAAATAAAATCTTTAAAAAAACATGAATAAACATAGACTATAATAAAAGCTCAGGGTACATTTGTGATATTCAGGTTCTGAAAATATCTAAGTCTATTTAAATAACACTTGCAAACTTGTTACCACTGAGTTTTCTTTACTGTTCCTGGGTCCTCATTTCCAA